TGGTAGTAGCTCAATCATGCCACTAATGTCTTTAGAGATTGTACAGATGGAATTAAATGGCTACCTATGGGGGGTAGGGGGGGGTACACAGGTTGTATGAATTAACCATGAATGGCCCCCAGTCGCAGCATCATGTGATCTTCCATTCATTGGAACTATACTACTTTTTCGGTCTGTACCATGAGGAGCCATTTTGTCCCATCCATGTAGCGATAGCGCTGCAGTCATGTTATCAGAGTAAGAGTGAAAATCCTCCTGGCTTCCAATAAAGGTTGGCAATGAAATGCCAGTTATGGTTTCAACAGTCCTTTATTCCCAGTTGTTTCCTCTAAAGGATGGGTGTCAAACTGGCGGCCCTCCAGCTGTTGCCAAACTACAAGTCCCATGAGGCATTGCAAGATTGACAGTTACAAGCATGACTCCCAAAGGCAGAGGCATGATGGGGCTTGTAGTTTTGCAACAGCTGGTGGGCGGCCAGTTTGACACCCCGGATCTAAAGTGAATTGGAGACCCTCTTCTTCTTGGAATGCTTTCACTGCCTTCTTCTTGAGGGGATACTTCATACTTTACCCAGTCCTGATTTTGGAGATGCGGTTTTGCTTTAATGGACAGGAAATGGGAGGGGCTTAGACTTTAATGGACAGGGAATGGGAGGGGCTTAGACAACAGATGGGTGCTGCTGGGTAGACTGCATACAGGTCCTGACTAGTCCCCGAATTTGTAAGATGTTAGGGATTGTGAATTTACTGTAATGTGATAATCACAAAATAGGGAGGTTCCTTAAGTAAGAGACAGGAGCAGGGGTGATGTACAAAACACTGTAACATGTAATGCACTTCTTGTGTGATACATTTTGATTGGCTGCAAGCTGGTTTCTGAAAGCTTTCCACTGTTTTTTTCTTGCACATCTTCCTATTAAACAAGATGATGGCATTGAAAGAGTACATTGGGGGGGTCCATCGTAATTGATCATTGTGTTTGCTTGTGGGTTGGATGATCAGTAAACATGCCCACAGATGATAGATGATTTTAGCCTCAGGCTCAGGCTTTAAAATCCATTGGTGTCCTAATAACCAATGACATACCCCACCAATGACAGGAGAATGGGTCCTCCTCTGTCCAGACCTTTTACTTCTCAAGATTCCCACACAACCACACGGTAGGGCTTACAGCAATAAGGGGGTCTCTGATGTGGACCCTGGCATAAGGAGGAGGGGGCTCTGATGAGGACTCTGACATAGGGGACAGAGGGCTGTGATGGGGGCTTGGACCTAGGTGAAATGGGGGCCTTGACTAAAGGGGGGGGGGTGAGAGACTCACATGGTGGAGGACTCAAATTGGGAGGGGACTCTAAAAGGGACCCCAACCTAAAGGGAAGGGGGCTCTGTTGGGGTCCCTGACATAAGGGGAAAGGGTTTTGATGGGGACCACAACTTAAGGAGAATGGGGGCTCAGATATTAGGGAGAATGAGGACCCAAATAGGGGGGTACTCTGAGACCCCTATCCTAAAGGGAAGGGGGATCTGATGGGGACCCTTACATAAGGACAATGGAGGCTCTGATAGGGGGGCCTTGAAATAAGGGGGAGGACTCTGAATAGAGGGGCTCTGAAAGGAACCCCAATCTATGGTGAAGGGTGATTTGATGGAGACCTTATTGTAAAAGGAAGAAGGCTCTGTTGGGATCGCTGACTTAAAGGGATTGGAGCCCTTGACATGGAGGGAGGAGGACTCAGATGAGAACCCCAACCTGATGGGAAGGGGGCCCCTGACATAAGGGAGAAGGGCACTGAGTGGGACCCTAATGTAAGGGGAAGAGGACTCTAATAGGGGAGGAGCACTGATGGGGACCCCAACCAAAGGGAAGGGGTCTCTGATGAGGACCCTGACATTAGAGGAAGGTTAAACATGATGGGGAACCTGTTGTATGGGGCTCTGATGGCTACCCTGATAAAAGTGTAGGGGAGGGGGGAACATATGTTGAGTTGCAATGCTATTATATATATATATATATACACACATACAGTCAGGTCCATAAATATTGGGACATGGACACAATTCTAACATTTTTGGCTCTATACTCCACCACAATGGATTTGAAATGAAACAAACAAGATGTGCTTTAACTGCAGACTGTCAGCTTTAATTTGAGGGTATTTACATCCAAATCAGGTGAACGGTGTAGGAATTATAGCAGCTTGCATATGCGCCTCCCACTTGTTAAGGGACCAAAAGTAATGGGGCAATTGGTTTCTCAGCTGTTCCATGGCCAAGTGTGTGTTATTCCCTCATTATCCCAATTACAACGAGCAGATAAAAGGTCCAGAGTTCATTTCAAGTGTGCTATTTGCATTTGGAATCTGTTGCTGTCAACTCTCAAGGTGAGATCCAAAGAGCTGTCACTATCAGTGAAGCCATCATTAGGCTGAAAAAACAAAAACAAACCCATCAGAGAGATAGCAAAAACATTAGGCGTGGCCAAAACAACTGTTTGGAACATTCTTAAAAAGAAGGAACGCACCGGTGAGCTCAGCAACACCAAAAGACCCGGAAGACCACGGAAAACAACTGTGGTGGATGAGCGAAGAATTCTTTCCCTGGTGAAGAAAACACCCTTCACAACAGTTGGCCAGATCAAGAACACTCTCCAGGAGGTAGGTGTATGTGTGTCAAAGTCACCAATCAAGAGAAGACTTCACCAGAGTGAATACAGAGGGTTCACCACAAGATGGAAACCATTGGTGAGCCTCAAAAACAGGAAGGCCAGATTAGAGTTTGCCAAACGACATCTAAAAAAGCCTTCACAGTTCTGGAACAACATCCTATGGACAGATGAGACCGAGATCAACTTGTACCAGAGTGATGGGAAGAGAAGAGTATGGAGAAGGAACTGCTCATGGTCCTAAGCATACCACCTCATCAGTGAAGCATGGTGGTGGTAGTGTCATGGCGTGGGCATGTATGGCTGCAAATGGAACTGCTTCTCTTGTATTTATTGATGATGTGACTGCTGACAGAAGCAGCCGGATGAATTGTGAAGTGTTTCGGGAATATTATCGGCTCATATTCAGCCAAATGCTTCACAACTCATTGGACGCTTCACAGTGCAGATGGACAATGACCCAAAGCAGACTGCAAAAGCAACCAAAGAGTTTTTAAGGGAAAGAAGTGGAATGTTCTGCAATGGCCAAGTCAATCACCTGACCTGAATCCGATTGAGCATTTCACTTGCTGAAGACAAAACTGAAGGGAAAATGCCCCAAGAACAAGCAGGAACTGAAGACAGTTGCAGTAGAGGCCTGGCAGAGCATCACCAGGGATGAAACCCAACGTCTGGGGATGTCTATGCGTTCCACACTTCAGGCTGTCATTGACTGCAAAGGATTTGCAACCAAGTATTAAAAAGTGAAAGTTTGATTTATGATTATTATTCTGTCCCATTACTTTTGGTCCCTTAACAAGTGGGAGGCACATATGCAAACTGTTGTATTTCCTACACCGTTCACCTGATTTGGATGTAAATACCCTCAAATTAAAGCTGACAGTCTGATGTTAAAGCACATCTTGTTCATTTCATTTCAAATCCATTGTGGTGGTGTATAGAGCCAAAAATGTTAGAATTATGTTGATGTCCCAATATTTATGGACCTGACTGTATATATATTTATTTATTTATTTATTTATTTAATTGTCACATGATCTGACAGCACAGAGACCAGAAGCTCAATGCTTATTCTGTTATTTCACATTAAACCGCACATTATCACCCCCCCAGCATCCTCAGAGAGATGCACTAAATATTTTACTGTGCTAGGTTTTGCTGAAAGTGCAGAGATATATATATATATATATAATCTCCATCCAATACCATCCCATTGGTGGAATCAGGACACAACCCCTCGCAGTAAGGATACAAGCACACGGACACTTTGTTTCAGTGAGTGACCCCTTTTAATACTTTACTTTCTGAAAGCAAGGAGGAATTTCTTAGAATTTATTGAACACAAATTTCTGTGTAACGCTTTCACTTCTTCACCATTTTTAAGTGCAGTAACAAAGAAAAATAAAAAAGTGTTTAATAAAAACAGCGAGCGAGTGGCAGCCATAGACAATGCAGCTGCCTTTCCATATGGGGCCCCAGAGCGAGCAGGTCACTGGAATGAGCGCAGACTCCACAAACACAAATCAAAGTAGTGCAGAATAATGAAAGGATTCAAATCATCAGCATTTAAAGTGTCTGTACAGCCACTTTTTTTTTTTTTAAGCTGTTGAACGGGTTGGATTTGATTCCCCGTCAGGTTAAGTCTGTCCAATAAGTCTGTCAGTGCTGCCCCTGCAAACATTATGAGAGATACTCGCTCCAGGGCTGTGTATTACTGGGTGCACACCCCTCACCCCGCATCACGGATAATTGTTTTGTGAAAATGCAGAATTACTCTTAAAAGGCAACCCTTTAAAAATAATAGATTACCAAAGCACCAGAATATCCAAAGAGGGGTCACTATATGTGTAACATAAAGCACTATGGGTACTTTATTGCTGCAATACCTGCCTGTCGCCTTATTCATTGGAGCGCCATTCAACATGGATGACACAGCATTATGTATGGCATTAGCAGCAGAATAGTGTAAAATGGTCCCATGGTGTTGTCACTAGAACAAGAGGGGAGGGTTAAAAATATAGAAAAAAGGGGTTTTTTGTTTTTTTAATTTTAGAGTGGGGTTAGAACCCCTGTGTTTATTGCTTTTTGTGCCACCATTAGGGAGAGTCACCCTCTAATTTTTTTCCTGATAACGGTTTTACCAAGAGTGATGGAAATGTTAAAGTTTTGGGTCCTCACCAGAAATGTAAAAAAAAAAAAAAAAAAATTATTATATATGAAATCTTCAAATGGGGACACTAGTTCTGGTGACAACCGGGGATTCCATCTCACTTCCTGTTTTGGCTAGGAGACAGGAAGTGAAATCTCTCCAATGGGATCAGGAGCAGACTGACAACTCATGGGTCCCCCGGGCAATAGGGGATCATGGGGCCCCTGTGTTCTTGCCCAAACTCCAAAAGGCCCATGAAAAAGTACCAGGAGCATCTCATGGGGCCCCCTACTGACCCCAGGCCCTCGGGCAATGCCCGAGTTTCCAAATGGTAAGTCCACCCCTGGTGGGATCCATCTATCCCACTCAGACACTTTAAGACTCCATGAACACTGGCATTTTTTTTTTTTTTTTTTGGCCAGAAAGCTCCAATCAAAAACCAGAAGGGTTTTTTTTTCCTGCCTCTAAATGTTGAGCTTAAAATATACCTCTAATGCAGGCCATAGACGGGGAGAAAAACGGCAGATTTTTCTTTTAAAAAACGAAAAATCGGTCGTTCAAGCGGCCGACGTTACCATCAATGGTAAAAAAAAATCAGCCGATTTTCATCCTGCCTACAGCTGGCAAAAAGTGTCCCTGCAGAGAGCTCCGCTATTTCTTTGACAGTTCCTTGACATTTACAGAGGTTGCAACAATGTATCTATTTGTATCCATTTAGGATACAGATGTTTTTATTCAGAAACAAATAGATACAATGTTTCAACCGCTGTAAATGTCAAGGAACTGTCAAAGAAATAGCGGAGCTCTCTGCAGGGACACTTTTTGCCGTACTGGAATTCCTCTAATTTTTCATCCTTCTTCTTCTCCTGCTTCATCATCATCCTCTTCTTAATCATCATCCTCTTCTTTTTCTTCATCATCATCATCCTCTTCTTCGTCATCATCATCCTCTTCTACTTCTTCATCATCATCCTCTTCTTCTACTTCTTCCTCTTCATCATCTGCATCCTCTTCTTCTACTACTACTTCTTCTTCCTCTTCATCTTCTTCTTCTCCCTCTTCATCATCATCATCCTCTTCTTCTTCTACTACTACTTCTTCCTCTTCATCATCATCCTCTTCTTCTTCCTCTTCATCCTCTTCTTCTACTTCCTCATCATCATCATCCTCTTCTTCTACTTCTTCCTCTTCATCATCTGCATCCTCTTCTTCTACTTCTTCCTCTTCGTCATCTTCATCCTCTTCTTCTTCTACTTCTTCCTCTTCGTCATTATCCTCCTCTTCTTCTACTTCTTCCTCTTCATCATCATCCTCCTCTTCTTCTACTTCTTCTTCATCATCATCCTCCTCTTCTTCTTCTACTTCTTCTTCATCATCATCCTCCTCTTCTTCTACTTCTTCCTCTTCATCATCATCCTCCTCTTCTTCTACTTCTTCTTCCTCTTCATCATCATCCTCCTCTTCTTCTACTTCTTCCTCTTCATCATCATCCTCCTCTTCTTCTTCTACTACTTCTTCTTCTTCTTCCTCTTCATCATCATCATCATCATCCTCCTCTTCTTCTACTACTTCTTCTTCCTCTTCATCATCCTCCTCCTCTTCTTCTTCTACTACTTCTTCTTCTTCCTCTTCATCATCATCCTCCTCTTCTTCTTCATCTACTACTTCTTCTTCCTCTTCATCATCATCCTCCTCTTCATCATCCTCCTCCTCCTCTTCTACTTCTACCTCTTCATCATCATCATCCTCTTCTTCTACTTCTTCCTCTTCATCATCCTCTTCTTCTACTTCTTCCTCTTCATCATCATCCTCTTCTTCTTCTTCTACTTCTTCTTCCTCATCATCATCCTCTTCTTCTTCTACTTCTTCCTCATCATCATCCTCTTCTTCTTCTTCTTCTTCCTCATCATCATCATCCTCTTCTTCTTCTTCTTCTTCTTCTTCTTCTTCTTCTTCCTCATCATCATCCTCTTCTTCTTCTTCTTCCTCATCATCATCCTCTTCTTCTTCTACTTCCTCTTCATCATCATCATCCTCTTCTTCTACTTCTTACTCTTCATCCTCTTCTTTTTGTCTTCCTCTTGCAAGTCACTGCTCATGCGCAGATTTTTTAATCGGGAAAAAAAAAAAAAAAAAAAAAAGCCGATTTTTTTTCCAACTTTACCGAAAAAAAAAAAAAAAAAAAAACGGCCAAAATACCGAAAAATGGCCGACCAAATAGCCCACTAACGATCCGAAAATCGGCCGATTTTATTTTCGGCCGAAAAATCGGCCAATTTTCGACCCATCTATGGCCTGCATAAGGCTAGGTTCATATCTGTGCGGGTGGTGCCCTGCAGATCCGCACGAAAATCCTTGCAGCTGCACCACCCACACAGAGAATTGCAGACCCACAGGCAGGTGCCATTAGTCCTAATCAGGGACGGACTGACCACTCACGGGGCCCCCAAGGCAATAGGGGATCAGAGGGGCTCTATGTCCTTGCCCACACTCAAAAAAGCCTATGAAAAAGGTACCAGGGGCATCTCATGGGCCCCCTACTAACCCCGGGCCCTCGGGCAGTGCCCGAATGCTCAAATGGTCAGCCCACCCCTGGTCCTAACAGCACGCCGCCAGCACTAGAAAACGCAACCGTACTGGGAACCTCAGCTGGGTTTTCAGAAGATGTTCCGGGACTTCTTCCCTGCGCATCCCGGGGTACGGGAGTCAAATGAATGGGCTCTCATGCCCGTACAAACAGTGGCCCGCACAAACGTGAACTGGGGGCTAAATGTGGAGCTTAAAATATGCCTCCAATCGTCCTAATGTGCATAGACCCCGAAGGGGCGGACTAACCATTTGTAAACTCAGGCACTGCCCGAGGGCCCGGGGTCAGTAGGGGGCCCCATGAGATGCCCCTGGTACCTTTTTCATAGGCTTTTTTGAGTTTGGGCAAGGACACAGGGGACCCATGATCCCCTATTGCCCGGGGGCCCCATGAGTTGTCAGTCCACCCCTGGACCCCCATGTATGTGAATGCTTCTACAGGAAAAAAAAAAAAACACCAAACTCCAGTAGAAGCAGCGATTTTTTAAAAGACTCTACGCACACTAGCATTTTTCTATTAAACTCCTAGAAGCAGTTATCAGCATTTTTTTCCTGTCCCTAGAAGCTAAACAACGTTCTCCTATGTGTCCATGAACACTAGTTTAGACTATTAGCGCTTTTTGAGCATCAGCATCTAGGAGAAGAATAAAAAAAAATTGTTTTTGTAGAGTTTTTGGAGCATTTTTACAGCAGAAAAAACACTAAACATAACTAAAAACACTTCTAACAGTTTTTTTTTCTACATGTACTGTATAAACGCTGTTAAAACAATAACTAAAAACACTATTACCAGCATTTAACTAAAAAAAAAAAACCACACAGCATGGAGCCTAACTAGCAAAAACGCAATCCATTTTTCTATAAGGCAATTGGGATATTCTTGCCAGCAATGCGGCTCCACACATCCAACAAACACCACAAAACAGGATCTCCAGCACTCTGCTACACAAAGTAATACAAACAACAAGGAAGGATATTATTTAATACACAAAACTGCTACATTGTCTATGCTGAGCTCTACCTGTCCTCCCCCCGTGTCCTCACCTTCCACACCACACACTCCTATCTCACCTGTCCTGACTACAGACACGCCCACCTGACTAATAATCATCCCTCACCTGTGCAGCCAGCTAGCCAATCACCTGCCAAGACATGAGACTCCACCCCCTCATTCACTCACAGGTGCTTAAAGCTGCAGAAGCAAGAAATGAACACAGTGAAACACCAAAATTAACCCCCACTTTCCCCCCCTCCAGTCTGGACACTTTCACCCCCTTCCCATCCGGACACTTTCACCCCCTTCCCATCCGGACACTTTCACCACCTCCAGTCTGGACACTTTCACCCCCTTCCCATCTGGACACTTTCACCCCCTTCCCATCCGGACACTTTCACCCCCCTTCCCATCCGGGACACTTTCACCCCCTTCCAGTCCGGACACTTTCACCCCCTTCCCATCCGGACACTTTCACCCCCCTTCCCATCCGGACACTTTCACCCCCTTCCAGTCCGGACACTTTCACCCCCTTCCCATCCGGACACTTTCACCCCCTTCCCATCTGGACACTTTCCCCCCCTTCCCATCCGGACACTTTCACCCCCTTCCCATCCGGACACTTTCACCCCCTTCCAGTCCGGACACTTTCACCCCCTTCCAGTCCGGACACTTTCACCCCCTTCCCATCCGGACACTTTCACCCCCTTCCAGTCTGGACACTTTCCCCCCCTTCCTGCCCAGGCCAATTTTCAGCTTTCAGCACTATCACACTTTGAATGACAATTGCGCGGTCATGCAACACTGTACCCATATGAATTTTTTAGCATTTTTTTTGAGACAGATAAAACTTTATCTTGGTGGTATTTATTCACTACTGGGATTTTTTTTTTTTTTTTGCTATATAAATGAAAAAGTCCCAAAATTTGGAAAAAAAAAAAAAAGTGTTTTTCTTATACAATTTTGCAAATAAATAATCTTTCTTCATAAATATTGGCCAACATTTATTCAGTTATGTTTTTAGTAAAAAAAAATAACCCAAAGTTAGTTTAAAACCCAAAATTATAATTTTTCAAAAAATGTTTTTACATTTTTATTTTATTTTTTTATATTATTATTATTTATTTTTGTTTTTTTACATACTGTCACCCTACCAGTACAGTGTCACCATAGTGACACTGTACTACTTGTGGGGGGTGATGAAGATTTTTTTTTACACATTGCTTTTACACCCATAAAGGCTGTAAAAGCAATCATTTCTCCTTCTCTCTGGCTGCATTCTTGCAGCCATTGAGAAATACTGTGTGAGCTGTGATTGGTCACAGCTTGTCACATGGTACAAGGCTGTTGTGTATAGCCCTGTATCATGTGACCTCGGTGATCATCACAGATTTCACACGTAGTAAGCAATGATGTCAGAAGTGATATCTTGCTTACTACTATTTGTGTGATCACTGATTGGCCAATCATGGATCACATGATCGGGGGCTCACACAGAGGTCCCGTACAGCAATCGGTGTTCGGAGGACACAGCAGGCACCACAATCCTACCCCTTGCGCTTATCAATTTCACTGTCGCAGTTGAGCACGTTAGTTTTTGGGCATTTCAGGGGTGGAAAAAATTTACCAACCCCCCAGGTTCCATCAGTGGAGACGAGCCCTCCAAGTTAACATATGTTCAGTTAAGGGAGCTGATTCTGATTGCAGCGTGAACCCTACGCTTGTTTCTCAGTCTGTTTGTTGGGGTCAAGGGTCGTATTGTGAATCTGGGAAGAATTGGTGCGTGTTGGTCTGCGGTTGGATAAGTGATTTCTCTTGCTTGACCCTACAGATATCTGGTGCAGGTAAAGCGGGACGAACTCGTATTCTATTGCTCGCAGCAGCTGGAGCCGCAGAAAATCAGCGTCAGCCTGTCGGAATGTTCTGTGACCTCCGGAACCCAAAACGCCTTCGCCACCTTCTGCATCGACGGCAAGGCTAACAAGTACATGTGAGTACCACTGGAATAAAAGACACATAGCTGGAAAAAGAAAGCCAAAATGAGGCTTGCAGTGGGAGTGGCCACTCTGTAAGACGTGTCCCTTTTTCTCCAATGCATGGTGCAGTAAATTGAAAAAACAACGCTCTGCCAACCAGCCACCATAACCCGTGTATGAGGATCAGCTTCAGCCTCCATGTCTCTACCATACAATCACACCCTCCACTGACGCATTTCGCCCCATCCACCAGGGAGCCACCAATTATGGTGGCTGGCAGGGGGAGCTGTGGTTTCTCGATTTATTGCACACATCGCTCTGGATGGGCATATTGACATCCTGCACCACTTCACCTGAGGAACATGGGAATGGAATCCTTGGCTTTGGGCGGCATCCTGAGCTCCAACGCATGGTACTACATTACCAGGGGAAGGTCTATTGCCTTGGTGCGTTGGGTGGCATTCAGAACGCAGTGCCTGCAACTAAAAATCCAAAGTTCCTCCAAGATTCTCCAATATATAAAATCAAGCCCTCCACTGACGCATTTCGCCCTGTCCACCAGGGAGACACCGGTTATGGTGGCCGGCAGGGCAAACTGTGGTTTCTCAATTTATTGCACACATCTCTCTGGATGGGCATATTGACATCCTGCGTCCCTTCACCTGAGGAACATGGGAATGGAATCCCTGGCTTTGAGTGGCATCCTGAGCTCCAACGCATGGTACTACATTACCAGGGGTAGGCCTACTGCCATGGTGCGTTGGGTGGCATTCAGAACGCAGTGCCTGCAATTAAAAATCCAAAGTTCCTCCAAGATTCTCCAATATATAAAATCAAGCCCTCCACTGACGCATTTCGCCCCGCCCACCAGGGAGACACCGGTTATGGTGGTCGGCAGGGCGAGCTGTGGTTTCTCAATTTATTGCACACATCTCTCTGGATGGGCATATTGACATCCTGCGTCCCTTCACCTGAGGAACATGGGAATGGAATCCCTGGCCTTGAGTGGCATCCTGAGCTCCAACGCATTGTACTACATTACCAGGGGTAGGCCTACTGCCATGGTGCGTTGGGTGCCATTCAGAACGCAGTGCCTGCAACTAAAAATCCAAAGTTCCTCCATGTTTCTCCAATATATAAAATCAAGCCCTCCACTGACGCATTTCGCCCCGTCCACCAGGGAGTCACCAGTTATGGTGGTTGGAATGGCGCGCTGTGGTTTCTCGATTTATTGCACACATCTCTCTGGATGGGCATATTGACAGCCTGCACCCCTTCAGAACGCAGTGCCTGCAACTAAAAATCCAAAGTTCCTCCAAGTTTCTTCAATACATTTAAAGTAACCCTAACAGGTACTTACCTGAACCTTTACCACCTAACCCCTAATCTGAACCTAACCTACCCCTCCTCCCAACACGTAACAATGAACATGTTTGATGCCAATGTCACAATAGTGTGACTGCTCTCATAGTTTATATTTGGAATGAGTCCTGTTCTTCCCTCTCTGGGGACCTTTACTGGTGTCACTGCTAATCCTGACAATTAGTCAGACAATTAGGAGGCCGTGTATTCAGCATTATGTAAATCGATGTCTTAGCAGACAGTTTTTGGGTGACCCCTGACCCCGGAATACAGTCATTTTTTTAATATAAATCCATGCTGTACAAAAACTCTCCTGGATAATATTTTAACCCCTCAGTGACCATTGCCCTCTATTGCCTTGGTCAGAAGAAAACGATCAATTTTGTCCAGGAATAGTTGCTTAGCAAAAAAATATATAAACAAAATAAAATAAATAAAAATAAATCTACTCTCTTTTTTTTACTTTACTTAGAGGGTGTGTGTTTTTGGAAGTATCTAGGATTTCACAGCAAAATGGCAGATTTCACCTTTTTTAAAATTTCAGTCAGGAGAAATTTGTTTAGTTCATCTAGAAATAGTTGTTTTGCAAAAAAAAAAAAACAAAACAAAGAACATATATATATTACACTATATTGCCAAAAGTATTTGGAAGCCGGCCTTTCCCCACACATGACCTTTAAT